CATCCTCATCCTCATCCTCATCCTCATCATCATCATCATCATCATCATCATCATCATCATCATCATCATCATCATCATCATCATCATCATCATCATCATCATCATCATCATCATCATCATCATCCCCCTCTGTTCCCTTTTCCTGAGCATCTCCTTGGGGTGGAGGGCTCAGGGTGAAATCCATGTGGGCTCTTGCACCTCGAAAGTCGAGATCCCTCCTGTGATTCACCTCTTGCAGATTCGAGCCTCGAGAATCCATCGAAACGGCATTTCAGACTTCACCCTTTGCCCTCCACCCAAAGAGAATGCTCGGCCTTCCCCTCCCTGCACGCCTCATGCGTTTCCCAGAAAGGGACGCCAGAGAAAGGGGGGGGCCTTCTGAGACCGCGGCAGTTGCGCTCGAGACCCCGAAGCGTGCGAGCGACTGCGCCCCTTGTGACGACCCTGCGGAGGAAGCCGATTCGGACCTGGGGACATCGGCACCGCCCGTCTCCAAAGGCCCTCTCCCTTGGGACCCCCTTGGGAACCACGTGAACGCCCTCCCCCTCGCCTGCTCCCCCGCCGCCCCCCCCCTTGGTTTTCCATGTCCCACCCTCCGCTCCGCTCGGCTACACGCAAGAGTGACCCTGGGTGAGAGTGATCTTCGGTGCGCGGCTTCTCGGGGGCCGCGGAGGGACCAAAAGCGAGCGCGCAAGACGCCACCACCGCACCGCGCTCGGCGATCGGGGGACCCCCGTGAGCCCGCACCAGAGGTCACTCCGGCGAAGGGTCACTCTGACGTGTTGCCGATCCGCGGCCGGGGGGGCGCCGGGGCTGGCCCGTCCTCGCGGCGTCGAGCGGAAGTCGGGGCCCTCGGTCTGAGCGTTCCGTCCCTCTGCCCTGTAGCAGTCGGGGCGTGGACCCGAGGCACCCCAGATCAGGAACGAGGCCCCTCTTTACCACAGGCTGCACTTCGACTCCCTGGCGAGAGCCCAAGGAATACCTGAGGCAAGCTGTGCAACAATTAAGGAACACGGAGCCCCTCCCAAACGAGAAGGGTTCCTTCTTCAGGACCCTGGCTATACCTCTCTCCCTGCCCCCCTCTTTGCGTGTCCGTGTCCCGGGACAGGAAGAAACGTGCCGATACCGACTTGGGTGCAAAGGGGCATTCCGCCACAGAGTTCACCTGGGCAGCCCTGAGAGATGTCGAGGAGCATTCATTTCTTGACGCGGCGTGGTAGAAAATCTCGACGCTGTCATTACGTCTCTCGCGCCAGAAGCTCCGTGTGCCCCAGACGGTTGATACTGGAAGACAGCATGAAAAAACGCCTGGGGCGGCTTGGGATAAAACGAATTGAGGAAGAGGCACAAGGGGCGGTGGTAGGAGGGAACCGACTGGAAATATATAAAGCCATGTATACATACATGCCTAGATATACACATATAACTGCATTGGCGCTTCGAGCCATGCATCTTTGTCCTTGACGTTTGGGATGTCGGCAAAAGGGTAGGAAGGTAAACCACTCAACAGGTAGCGAGAATTCCTTGTTGCCCTTTCCGACATCATCGTGATAAGTATGTTGTTCAATAGCCTTCGTTCATGTTTGGTCGCCCTACCATGCAACTCGTCCACTCTCCTCAGCTCTTTGCACGGAGGCTCCTCCTTGGAGAGCCGGGGACCTCACGAAAGTTTTGAAGGGGTTCTTGGGGCCTCTGCTAGCGCCTTTTTGGGGCTTCTGGGGGCTTCATCGGGCCCCCCTGCTCACAGCGCGGTCTCCCTGAACGACCGGTTCGGGGTTTGGAATGCTTCCGGGGGCGTCGTGGGGCCATCTTGGGGACTCTCATTGGGCCATCTTGAGACCCTGCTGGGCCTTCCTGAGGCCCCCCTGGGCGGCCCGGAAGCCCTCTTGGGCAGTTGGTGGGGCGACTCTCGGGCCTCCGAGGCGGTCTCGGACGCCTGAGGAACCCAAGAACAGAGCACTCCACAAGTGACACAAAACCTACGAGAGACCACTTTTTTCTTGCGTTGCGAAGGCCTCTTGGGTCTTCCTTGGGTCGTCTTCGGGCGTCTAGTGGGTGTCTGGGGTCTCTTGGGGCCCTCGCGGGGCCGTCCGGCCGCCCTTCTGACAGATTTGGGCCCGTTGCCTATGCCCAGCAGGGACTTCCGGGAGCCCCGAAAGCCCAGAAAACCTTCTGCTGGGGTGTTTAGGCGGCCCCCGGGGCCACTGATCCTGGTGGTCTCGTTTTTCGGGGGGATGTGTCCGCCACCGTGCCCTTGAGGCACGAGTTGGAGTGCTCTCAGGTCCCTTGCCCAATCCCCTCGAGCCTAACTTCCCAGATCCCGAGGACTCTTTTGGGGACCCGAACACCAATTCCCACAAATCTCCCGGGGGCTTGTCGCGTGGCTCCCAGGGCTTGCCCCAAGACGGGCCAAGCGTGCCCCAAGAGGCCCCCAAGATGGCCAGCGTGGGCCCCGAATCGCTGAGCGATCGGCCCACGACGCCCAAGATGGGCTCCAGTCGGCCGAAAGAGCGCACAAGATGTCCCAAGAGGCTTCCAAGAGCCTTCCCAAGAGGGCCCCGAGAGGCCAAAATCATGTATGTTGCTCAGGTGTTGCACAATGTTGCTTCGGTTCTTCACTTTTCGAGCTCCCGACGCTCCAAAGCGTCCCAAGAGGCCTCCAAGACCGCCCCAAGGCAGCCCAAAGAGGGCCCCAAGACGGCCCGAGAGGTGCCCGAGACGGCCCAGGAGAGCCCCAGGACGGCTCCAAGAGGGACCCAAGAGTGGGAGCCCGAACCGACCATTCGAGTCCTCCCTCCCACGGGGCCGCAGGCAACCCGAGGAGGGAAGGGGGAGGAGGGGGGAGAGGAGGGGGAGGAGGAGGAGGAGGAGGAGGAGGAGGAGGAGGAGGAGGAGGAGGAGGAGGAAAAGGAGGAGGAGGAGGACGAGGAGGAGGTTCTTCGGCTCAGCCCGCCAGCCGCCAGGAAAGCCCGGAAAAATCAGCCCCTCAGTGCCCAAGTCGCCTCCAAGACGGCCAGGATGGCCCGAGATGGTCTCCAAGATGCCTCCAAGACGGCATGATAGCCCCAAGAGAGCCCAAGATAGTCCCAGGATGGCCTCCAAGACGGTCCCAAGATGCCCCCAAGATGGCGCAGGAGAGCCCAAGACGGCCCAAGGCCTCCAGGAAGGCTCGAATTGATTCTCCTAGGTTTTTTTGTTTTTAAAGATTTTGGCATTTGCTTCAAAACGGTCTTCCGACGGCCCAATTCGGCCCAAGAGGCCCCCAGGATTGCCAAAAGATCGTCAAAGAGGACTTTGAGATGGCCCAGAGATGGCCCAAGAGGCTCCGCAAGACGGCCCCCGAAGGGCCCCAAGAGGACCCCAAGAGGGCCCCAAGATGCTCCCAGGACGGCTTCCGATGGCGACAAACGGGCCAGGAACGCTGTAAGACGACCAAAGAAGCCCCCTTTAAGGCCTCCGAGAGGCCCCCAGGAAGCTCCCAGGATGCCCCAAGAATGACCCAAGAATGACCCAAGAAGCTTCCAAGAGGACTCCTCATCCTTCTCCTCATCCTCCTTGTTCCTCCCTCTCCTCATCCTCCTCTTCCTCCCCACGTGTTCCCCGAAGGGCTTCCACAACGGCTGGGGGAACGCATGGTCCAATGGCGTGGCCAAACTTTGCCCAAACGTTCGGCCACATAGGCGTATCCTGAAGGCAGGGGGCGCCGGTGATTCGCCACGTCTTCGATATTACACCAGAGAACACTCCATTCAATTAACTTCGGAATTTTCCGCAGGTGCCTCGATCGGCCTTCCTCCCGCCCCCTAGTCTAGCTCGAATAGACGTTGTAGTCCAGTCTAGGTATTCCATGTTCCTCTCTCTTTCTTGTTGTTCTCTGTCTCTCTCTCTCTCGCCCTGTTTGTGATTTTTGCTTCTCTCTCTCTCACTATGTCTCACTCTCTACACCTCCTTCCCTATGCATATGTGTATACATACGCGCACTTTCTCTGTATGCATATATTTCTCTCTACTCCGCCTCTATCATTCGTTTCTTTATCATAGATGGTTGGTTCTCCCTCTCCCTCTCTCTCTCTCTCTATTTGTTCCCCCTCTCTCTCACTCTCTGATTCTCTATATCTGCAATTTCGTGAGATCGCAGTGAAACGGAGACCCTCCCACCGGGAACTCGGTGTCGGATTTTCGTTCGTGTCGTGCGTGCAGGCGAGGTGAAGCTGCGTAGGCGGGCAAGAGAAATCAACCCGCCGTTGCTAGGGCGAAGCCGAACCAACCGGTGCTACCTCCCGGTTTGGCCGGCAGTGGCCCTGTGGTGTCCCGATGATGTCCCGATGGTGTCCAATGTTGTCCCGTGGTGTCCCGCGGTGTCCAGTGACGCGGGGGTGCCCCGTGCCATTCTATATGATATGCCATGCTATGTTAGCAATCATATTGTGAAAACCATACGGAAATCTATAGTGCGATCGATAGTGGGATCCATTGAATGAGATCGTAAATGAGATCGGTAAGTGGGTCAACCGTATGATCGTTAGTGAGATTCGTAGTGAAGTCGACCGAGTGAGATCGATCGTGAGACTTCGGCATATACACATAGACAGGGCGAGGGAGGGTGTGTGAGAGAGAAATGGAAGTACCTCTCTGTCTCTCTAGATCGATGCCGGGATTGGATCTACATCTACTATACGTGTGTGAGTCATCAAGCGCGCTATATATACGTATATATACAGTTACAGAGAGGAACACCTATCAGACAGAGTATCCAGATGTGTATGTACACATGTTAACCGATCGATGTATATGGATGTCCTTACGCACCTTTATACAAACTCTATGTGTGAATAAGCAGACTCATATATATATATATATATATATACACATGAGATGGAAGGACAGAACAGTCGTGCACCGGTCAAGAAACATGAAGAAACATGTAGATCAGATGATGGGAGGGCGGGATCGAAGCGAAAGAGAGACCTCCGACAGGGGAATCTGTTCTGGTCTGCCCTCGTGTCGTGAGGGACGCGTGTGCGGACGAGGCGAAGCTGCGCGAGGGCCCGCGGTTGTCCCGTGGTTATTCCGTGGTTGTCTCGTGGTTATCCCGCGGTTGTTCCGTGGATATCCCGTGGCTGTCTGGTGGTCGTCCCCTGGTTGTCCCATGGTTGTCTCGAGGTTGTTTCGTTGTTGTGCCGCGGTTGTCCTGTGGTTGTTCCGGTGTTTTCTTGTCGTTGTCCAGTCGTTGTCCCGTGGTTGCCACATGGTTGCCCGCGGTCGCTCCGTCCGCAAGTCAACTGATAGTGAATGCATTAGGTATATAGCGAGCTCGGCAGATATATTGATAAGTGAGGCCCGTAGGTAGTGAGACCGACAAATGGACTAAACATTGAATCGACATATGGTGCGAGACTGGTAGATGGTGATGTCGGCCAGCAAATTGATAGAGAGCTCGTGATGATATCGGTCGGTGGTTAGTGGACAGACAATTCGACCGACACTCAGATCGGAACTGCATTGATCACGGCATCGGCAAATGGATAGATCGAGTGATAACTAGTTGTCCCAAACATTCTCTTGGTTGTCCTATGGCTGTCCTGTCGTTGTCCCGTGGTCGTGTTGTGATTGTCACGCGGTTGTCCCGTTTCAGTGCTGTGGTTGTCCTGTCGTTGTCTCGTCGTTATTTTGTCGTTGCCCGTGGTTGTCCCGCGTGGTCGCTTCGTGCATAGCTGGGTGAAACGTGAGACCCATAGGCAGATAGCGAGACCGAAGTGCACACCTATATGTACGTGTACCTGGATAGTGAGATCGCTAGATTAATCACGAGACCTGCAGGTAGTGATACAAGTAGATCGCTGATACTGTTCTCAATCATTCAGTTGTGAAGCCGGTAGGCCGTGAGATCCACCGATTGATTGATAGTGATAGCGGAATATTGATAGTAAGACTGGCAGTCGTCCGGTCGATAGTTAGCTAGATCGGTTGCCATCATGATTGTGATATCGGCAGGTCGAGAGATCAATTATTATTTGCGAGTGGTCTCGATGGATGCATGAGTGGGGCCCGCACGTATGAAAATTGATGGATCAACATTGAGCTCGTTTGACAGATATATCGCGAAGGCACTTCGACGTCAATTCGCAAACCGAACGCTGCACCATATTCTCGTACCCAACCTTCTTATCACACGAACGGTGGACCTGCATGTATGCTACTTTCAGAGTAAAAGAGAGGGTGTGTGTGTGCGTGCGCAAGGGAGATAATGAGAGGGCATGCTTGATACAAGAAGACGGAGAAGAAGCAAGTGCAATTCAAAAGAAGTCTAGCGGGTTACCCGCGGGCGCCTTACAACTGCCAGAGTCGCTGCGAACTGGGCAGCTACAATTCGTGGCCCTTTGGCAGCACGTCCAAAATCTCCTGGAAGTCGGTGATGAACCAATCGGCTCCCGCTTGAATCTTCGGACGCACGGTGACACCACCGTAGCCAACGAAAGCAGCAGCGGGGCCTTCCGTGCGGGCGTCCATGTCGGTGGCACCATCGCCGAACATGATCATCGTCTTGTAGCCATGCTTCCGTTTCATCATCTTGAGCACCTTGGGCTTGCCACCAGACGCCGCCGTAGGATTGCTCCTGTCAAACCCGGCGTAGTTGCCGTCTTCGTCGAAGAGTACCTCATTGGCGTAGACCTGGTTCTGTGGAATGTGCAATTCAAGCGCCAAGGGGTAGAGCATATTCTTGAAGCCGCCCGAGACGAGGTAGACATTGGTACCCTGCTTGTGGAACATCTTCACAACCTCCCGTACGCCCGGCGACCATGCCGGAAACCTTGCCTCCCTTTCGACGCACTTGTCGAGGCCTCTTTTGGTCATGCCATGGTCGGCCATCAGCTGCAGACGATCATTCATCGCGTCTTGAAACTTCACGTTGCCGTTCATGGCCTTGTGGGTGAGCTCCGCGATTTCCTTCATGACCCCGAAGCAGTGGCCCATCTGGTCAATGCCCTCTGTCTTCAATACCGTGCTGTCCACGTCGAAGAACACGGCATCTGCCTTCAGGAGCAGCTCCTTCGTGCGCTCGATCGCCTCGGGGGTGCCAGGCGCGGGGCCCCTCGAGGAAGACAGCGCGCGCAGGCTGGCCAGGACGACCAGCGCACCCAACACCACAAGCGTCCCCGCTTGAGCTCGGCGGGGGATCTTGGGGGCCATCTCGCCGAGCCCGACTTGTGACGCTGGTGCGGCGCTGGGACGAAGAGGAGTCTCGAGCCAAACGGCTAGAGCCGCATCTGTCAGCGGGGGCACCTTTCACTTACCAGGGAGCGTCCTAGGGTGGTTCAGCGAGCCTCTCGGGTATAGCTCTAGATAGAGATGTTGGCGCAAGCCCCACGTCGTCGTCGGCGAGTTCGGCATCCAGCGCCTCGGACCTCGCGTGGGGAGACACAGGCGCCAGACGACGACCACGACGACGACGACCACGACGACGACAACGCCCACAACAACGACGATGACGACCACGAGGACGCGGACAGGGACGAGGACGACGACGAGAACGAGGACGAGGACGATGATGACGGTGACGAGGGCGAGGACTGTGACGATTACGAAGGTGACGGCGACGACGACGACGACGACGACGGCCGCTTTTAAAGGTCTCCAGAGGTCTCTGGAGGCCTCAGGAGATCAATAGAAGCCTCTGGAGGACGACGACGACGACGGCGACGATCACGACGACCACGACGCCCGTGACGACGACGACGATGACGATGATAACGGCGACGACGACGACAAGGACGAAGATGAGGACGAGGACGATGATGACCACGACGATGATCACGGCGACGACGACGATTTCGACGGCGACGACGACGACGACGGCTGCCTCTCAAGGTCGCCAGAGGTTTTCGGAGGCCCCCAATGCCTGTCAGCACCACGCCATGCCTGTGAGCACGGCGCCATGACTGTGAGGGGGCCGGACCCCCGCCGTACGCCCGTTACCGTCCTCGGAAGGGGGGCGGGTCGGGTTCAACGAATCAAAAAGCAATCTCCAAACCAAGGATGGTCCAGAGGTGGCCCGCAGGCTCGACTCGCCAGTGTCCTGCCCCAGCGGGCCACGACCGGCCTGAGCGCGATGGCAACGCCCCCTTGGCCACAGCTATGAACAGTCAATCAAAGTGGGCCTAACTAGGGGAGCAACAAGTGACATAAACATGAAAACCCAGAGGTCCGCGGGGATTTCTCGGATCGGCGCTGGACCCCCCTCCCTGGCGCGCGGAGCGAGCCAGAGGCGGCGCCGGAGGCGCCGCCGGGGGGGCCCCAGCGCCGATCCGAGAAATCCGCGCGGACCTCCGAGTTTTTATGTTAATGTCACTTGTTGTTCCCCTGCTAACACATGGACTCTTTGTCAGCAGCGGGCGCGGACGCTGACGCGCTCCAACAGCCGACGGGCCGCTGCGGGCTAGGGACGCACTGAGTCAAATGGAAAAGAGGAGGGCGGCCGCAGTGCACGGTTTCCCCCGGGGCCGTAGGCGACCTCAGGAGGAGGAGATGTAGGAGGAGGAGGAGGAGGAGGAGGAGGAGGAGGAGGAGGAGGAGGAGGGAGGAGGAGGAGGAGGAGGAGGAGGAGGAAGGAGGAGGAGGAAGAGGAGGAGGAGGAGGAGGAGGAGACGGGAGGAGGAGGAGGAGGGAGGAGGAGGAGGAGGAGGAGCAGGAGGAGGAGAAGGAGGAGATGACGAGGACGGGTCGCCCAAGCCCTTCGGAGAAACCCTCCAGGCCGCAGATGCGGAACAGGGAAGAGGCCCCAGACGTAGAGAGTCTACGCCTTGAGAAGCGCGCACGGGGAAACCAGAAGATACCGATGCCGCTGCTCCCTGGACCTCTCCCGGGCTGCGCTCCGACCAGGGTGTCGAGGCGAATGCAGCCGTGGCGACGAGGGCACCCCAGGAGGGTGACAAAAGGTGAGCACGAGGCCAGGGAAACGACACCGGTACCTCGTCCTCTCCTGAGCGCAGGCAGGCTCGGGCACCGGAAGCCGGTGCACACGGGCGCAACGAGAGGCTGGCGCCAAGGAGGTTGCCCCTCCGCCAGCCAGCCAGCCCGCCGCACAGACCATGCAGCTCCGCTGCGCGCCTGCACCCAGCGAGCGGCGCTCGCGGGAGGCGCTGCGAAGCGCTGTGGCACGCTGGGGGTGCGAAGCCAAACTCGGGCCAAGCACTGCCTTGACCGGCAGGGAAGAGCATCGATCGAAAGGTCCAGAGCCCCACGGCCCCGCAAATGGCCATCACTTGGGCCAGCGCGGGCCGTTCTGGCCCCTTGCGCCGGAATAAGAGCTCGCCGTGGCTCGGATCCTCATCAGAGAACGCCAACCAGACGCCGACAACGATTCTGGCCGCTGCGATCCTGGGACCGGGACAGGCGGCAGTGCAGACAGCCCTGGAACCAGATGCTGGGCACAGGCTGGCCTGGCCGGGGCTGGCCTCGGCTTCGGCACCACTGCGCTGCGCCGCAGAAGCGGGCCCGGCGCCACGGCAGCCGGGTGGCACCACGGCGCCTTCGGGGGCACGAGGCGCGCGCGAGCCATGGGCTCGCTGCCGAGCGTGGCCTGCGTGCCGAGGCCGCGAGGTGGCCCAGGCTCCTCGCCCAGGAGGCCGAGGAGCTGCGGCCTCGGGCCGCCGCCGCCGGCCGCCTGCGAGAGCTCCTGGAGCCGCGAGAAGACCTGGGCAAAGGATTGCCAAAAAAAACCCCCAAAAAACCCCAGGATTGCAAAAAAAACAACCAAAAACAAATGTTGTTTTTTGTTGCAATCCTTCGTTGAAATCGTTGGTTTTTTTTTGCAATCCTGGGGGCACCCGCCCCGGGCAGAGACGGCCTCGACGGGGGGCCGACAACTGGCCATCGCTCGGACGCCCATTCCCTGCTTTTGCTTCTGCTCCGTGCGTGTGCTCTTCTCGACACGGGATCAAGGATGCGCCTCGGCCCTCTGGCGCAGTATGTGGGACGTTTTCGGGCCCTCTTGGACAGTGTCAGGCTCTCGGGGCGCTTGCGGGCCCTTCGTGTGGTACCCTGAGGCTCTCGTGGGGCCGTGGAGCACCTTCGGCCACCCTTTGGGGCAGTCACGGGGAGATTGTGGGGGACCTCGGGCAGTGGAGAGAAGGGGGGCGGGGGGAATCTTGGGAACGATCGCGCGGTGCCTGCGTATTATGCACATGATATCAGCGAAACATCTCCGCTCTGTGCGCAAGGCTGTGACAAGCAGGCATACGGAAGCACGGTCTAATGAAGCACGTCCTGCGCGTGAACCTACGGAGATGCACCCATGTGCGCGCGCGCGCCTAGGACCCCACGATTTTAGGCGGAAGTCAAGAAGATGAGTCAGGTCACGAATCCGACTGCATAGACGCCTATCCACCCGAAATGCTTCAAAGCGTGCCCCGTGCCTTCTTGCACAGCGTCGTCTTGCCGACTCCGGGGGCCCCAGCAACCAGCAGCCGCAATGGCCCGCTGCTGGTGGACATTGGTGCCAGCGAGGAGTCCTCGCGAGGATCAAAGAGGCGATCCAGCGACATTCCGAGACGCTTTACAGTGACAGGCTTCACTTGTACTCCTGATTGCACTCTGCCCGAAATGGCCCAGAAAAAAAAACTGATCGAACAAACCACTGGCGGATCGAACGCCCGTAAATAGAACCGCGCACCCCTGACAGCCAAGCATGGTAAGTCAACAATGTCCGCACACATCGTGCTGAAGCAGCCGAAATGCAAACCGGACGTTCACATCCCGCGCCGGACTAGTCGAGGCGAGGGCATCCGAAAAGCCTCCGCTGCACGAGCCACCTGCGACGACAAAATGGTCGGCGGCCGTTGCACGGCACGCCACGTGTACTCAACGCCAAATGTCCGCCTCCGCACCAGCACGGCACCAGCGGCGCGGCACCAGCGGAACCGCCAGCATACCAAATCTGGGGACGCCAAGAGGTACCGATGCCGCTGCTCCCTGGCCCTCTCCCGGGGTGCGTTCTGACCAGGATTTCGAAGCGACTTCAGCGGTGGCGACGAGGGCCTCCCAGGAGGCGAACAAAGAAGAAAACGAGGGCAGGGTAGCGGATCGGTACATGTTCCTCCTCCGAGATTCAGCAAGAGCCGACACTGCAAGGCCCGCAGAGGACGACACTGCCCAAAGGCACCACGGCACAGCCGGCATCCCCGAAGACCAAGAAGAATCCACCTCACACGGCCCCCGCCAGGCACGCGTTGGACAAAGCCCTTTTGGCAACCTTCGCTGTCTGGTGGGCATCTCTTCGTGGCTACCCCCCACAAGCTGCGAGTCGAAGAAGCGATGAGTCCAGCCAAGCAGCTCTTTCAGGACAAGCGCGACCAGCAAAATCCGAAATCGCGCAAGCCGCACAGAACTCCTGCTGCCCATGGCAGACCAGGGACAAGACGCTGTCGCGTGCCCCTGCCCCGTGGGCTACCACTCCACGCTCTTTCACCATCACAAATCTTACCCATCCCACGCCATCCGAACTGCACTAGCAGCGTACCCTACCGATGACATCGGGCCAAACCGATCCCCGGCAATCATGGGCAATCTCGGATCACACAAGAAAGCAACCAACTTGGCGCAAGCGGAGAGCCCAAAGACGGGTGCTGCCTGGGGGAACTACCGCAAATCCTCCACCGCTGCTCCCCAGACGCCTCCCGGGGTGAGTTCCGACCAGGCCTTCAAGGCGAACCCAGCCGAGGCGAGGAGGGCCTCCCAGGAGGCCCAGAGAAAGGGGAAAACGACCAAAGGGCTGCCGCATTGCGGGCAAGATGCGCACCCATATCCACTGTGTCTTGCAGTATCGGGCCCCCGCCCCCAGAAGCCAGAGGCGCAGTGGATACGGGCAAACCTCTGCCAACTGGAGGCCAGATTTGTATCCATATCCACTGCGACTGGGCCGCTTGGCGCCGCTTCCCAGAAAATTCAAGACGCAGTGGATGTGGGTATACGCCTCCTCCTCCTCCTCCTCCTCCTCCTCCTCCTCCTCCTCCTCCTCCTCCTCCCTCCTCTCCTCCTCTTCCTCCTCCTCTTCCTCCTCCTCCTCCTCCTCCTCCTCCTCCTCCTCCTCCGCCCCCAAGAACGTGATTCTCTTCCACCTCCGAGTGTCGGCCACGCCAGGCTACCGCTCTCCCCCAAAACAGAGAGCGGCCGGGCGCCCCCGGGGTCCTCGGGCGCGAACCGCCGCCCTCGAGGACGCCGGCGCTAGACCGGCATGGCCGGCGCGAGCGCACTGCAATCAGGGCCGCTCCCGCGTGCCGCGATTGCCAGCAGAGGCGCGGCGTGAGAG